CAACCGATTCGTTCAAAACACGGAATCAATCAGCAATGAATCGGCTGTTTGTGAGATGCGCTGTATTTCCGCCTAAAATATGTGACATAATATTATTGTATTTGCTTATTGAACTGTTTATAGAACTATTAAACAGTCGTAATGGTGAAAACGTTGTGTGATGTTGCCTAACTAACTGTATTTTAAATATAAAAACTTTCCATTTTGAATTTTTACCTCAGGATGCTGAGTTTCTTAGTGTTGCGCGTTTTGATTTCTCCTGGAGAGGCTGCGGGAGCCTCGCCTCAGCAGCGCAACCTTATACTGTCAATAGATACATTATATACATTAGATATCCACTATTCGCCACTTACTCTAAATGTAATAAAATCAGAATAATATTGCGTTTTGGTGTTTACATAGTTATTTTTGGTTACTGATGTTTTAATCATGTTACTTGTCTGGCGTTAATGAAGAGTTAATGTCAAGCCCATAAGTGCAGGGGCTCAGCCCCAGACGGCCCAGCCCAATTTAAACCCTGGTCTTATGTAGCATGATGCTACAGTGTGCATGAATGGTCACATAACACGCGCTTTCGGTCTTGTAGTATGAACGGACATCTTCATATGATTGAAACTCTACACAGCTCCCGCGCTACTCTCCATTGGAAATGAATGACAAAATTAAAATAGGAAAAATATGCAATATGAAAATAATTGAAGACAAAATGTGTTTTAATGAGAAAAAACAAGATTTGGTTTTTAAAAAGCCTTTTCCAAAAGGTAAAAGGGGAAAAAGGGGGGTCGTCTTATAATCAGGTTTGTCTTATATTCGGGCCAGTACGGTACTCTCTCTGGCATTTTTTCTTCATCAAACTGAAGCATTACAGAAAGACTATCTACTTTCTCTTTATTACGTACACATTTTAATCTTTTCACTTCAATCACCTTAGCCCCCTTTATGTTGCTCTTTATTGATTCGGAAGATACATCAATTGGAATTCCATAGATTACTCCCCTTAACCAAACTCTCTTACTTGGTACTGTGCAACTCACCGATTGACCTAGCATTGATTTTATGCCCTGTGCCACTTTCTGTTGCTTTTCATTTTTACAGAAAATTTGAATATTCCCATTTCTCAAAGTCTTGGCACTCTCTACGTCTCCTACTGCTTTCTTTATTGCTTTGGTCAATTTTACTGGATTGATCACAAAATCATCTGCAAACTTCATCAGTACCTTGAAATCCTCCTTGCTTGTCCGTACCAGCATACTGTCTTTTTCACTGTCAGTTCCCGATTCTTGTCTACAAGTTTTCTTTCTTTTACGATTAACAATTTTACTCCAATCATTTGCTCCTGAACTCCTACTGCTACATTCTTCCTCCATCTCCGGATCACTTCCGGTACTACCATCACTTTCTTCCATCAATGCTCCAGTCACAGTCCAGTGTTGTCAACTGCCTCACACCTCAAATGATGGAGTTCCTCTGACGCCATAGTACCTCACCCACGAATTTATATATTCGCTCACTGCCCGATGATAGGACAATCAATGAACAACCAGCCATCCAAATGTAAGCAGGAAGAGCTTCACTAGTCCTGCCACATCAAGGATGCTGAGTTTCTTAGTGTTGCGCGTTTTGATTTCTCCTGAGAGGCTGCGTGAGCCTCGCCTCAGCAGCGCAACCTTATTCCGTCAATAGATGCATTATATACAGTAGCTATATCCACTATTCGCCACTTACTCTAAATGTAATAAAATCAGAATAATACTTGCGTTTTGGTGTTTACATAGTTATTTTTGGTTACTGATGTTTAAATCACATTACTTGTCTGGCGTTAATGAAGCGTTAATGTCGAGCCCTGGAGTCTATGTGCCAGGGCTTAGCCCCGGACGGCCCCGGCCCAATTTAAACCCTGTATATATATATGTGTGTGTGTGTATGTACGTGTATGTATATGTATATATTAGGCATTAACTGTTTTCAACATATTAAGTAGAAATGTTTCTTAGGCAGCAAATCAGCATATTAAAATGATTTGTGAAGGATCATGTGACACTGAAGACTAGAGTAATGATGATAAAAATTCAGCTTTGCATCACCTGATATATGACATTTTAAACCATGTTAAAATAGAAAAAAACATTTAAATTACAATGACATTTTACATAATTGCTGTATTTTTGATTGAATGAATAAATAAATAAACTTTTGATCAGTGGTGTAATATATTTTGAAAACTTCATTCCGGTATCTGTACTGCAGACTGATTTGGTTGAATCAATGTAATCTGGATATAAAGATGTTGAGAATCCATTGTAAAATAATAATGGCACTCACCTTCTGTTTTTTCCTCAGGCATGACAGTGTGGCAGAGCGCCAGCAGACGGAAGAAGGCCTGGACCTCTGGAGAGCCAGACTTTACCACTTCCACCAGCTTGTGGTCATGGAAACAGAACTTTGGGTCGGCAAGAGAGTTCCAGGAGAAATCGACCTTCTCTGTCTTCTATAAATGAGGAAGAACATAAGAATGAGTAAGGAAAAGAGATGTTTTTAATTCCTAGGGGAGACTAGACTTTTTTCACTTCAGTGAATATTTGTGAGATATACTAAATACTGAAAAAAAGCAAACATTACTACTGTTAAAGTTCAACATACAAAACCACTTCTAGAGAAAATATGCATTTGTGTAATACAGTTTTTGACTTCTCTTAGAGACTGTGACATATTCTTTGGGACACCAACCCTGGACTTCCCTATAGCTTTTAAGTTATATATTGTCAATGTTTCGACCACTAACCTCAGTAACTTCAACCCTCTGCCCAGCAAAATCCACAACCTCACCTGAGGAACATAAAAACAGTTCAATTCTACCATTTAGTTGAAATTGTTGAATATGTGACAACTCTTTGAGCTCTTACCATATGATTTTCCATTGATGGAGCACCTGTTGAAGGTCATGATGTTCTGGGTTAAAGTTCCCGTCTTATCAGAAAATATATATTTGATCTGACCCAGCTCTTCATTGAGAGTGGTCGTCCTGGCCTGGGCTGGTGTGTCACTCTTGACGTGGTACATTTTACGGTCCCAGTCAATAAAATAGCTGTTCCCCAGACGAAGGATCTCAACACTATTGAAAGCGCAAAAAAGTTCACTAGCATTTTTTTCTAATTTTATAACCGTTTTATTTTATTACAAATTATAATATCAGCATAATAATTTGAATGATTTAACCAAAAAAAGCATTTTAATAGAATTTGGTTGTCCTTAAATATCTCTTCTTCATTATGCGCCATAACTTATTTTGTTTTACAAAATATTTTATTTGAAAAAAAAAAAAGATGAATAAAAATATTTTAAAGATAAAAAGAAAGAAAACTGATTTTTATGAAGACGTCTTAGACGTTTTGGCCACACTGTATGTCATTACAATGGAGTAAACAACATCTGCTGAGATGTTTTTTTAAAGGGATAGTTCACCCAAAAATGAAAATTCTGTCATCATTTACTCATTAAACCGTTTTGGTTCCCATCGTTTTCCATTTCATTTTTGTCCCTCTAGTAGAAATCAATGGGAACCTAAACTGTTACCAACATTCTTCAAAATATCTTCTTTTATGCTCAACAGAAGAAAGTCATACAGGTTTGGAATGATATGATGGTGAGTAAATAATGGCAGAATTTTCATTGTGGGGTGAACTAACTCCAGGTATTGAAAATAAATGTAAATTATAACCATATAACTTTCATTTAAGTTAATATAAGTTCTGACCTGACATAGAGAGAGATGGGAACTACAGTGTTGAGGATGATGACGTAGGACCAGAAGGTGAGAAATGCTGAGAGAGATGCATTCGCTCCATCAGCCCTGGGCAGGAAGCTAATGAAGGAATTCCCTTCCTGGTATTCCCAAATGCCATTCCCAATGGACAAGATGGTGCACATGAAGGCCAGAAAACCAAAAATCTAACAAACAAATGTGAAATTAAACATTTTGTCGCTCAAACATTTTCGTGAACATTTATTACACACATCTACTTACAAACATCACCAGGAAATTCATGAGATGATCAATGCTGGTTCTCTTGAAGATGGATTTTCCCGAGTTCTGCATGAGCTTTGTGTCAGGACCTAACCGGATTTGGACAGAGCTTTTAAATATATAAAACTTAAATATAGACTTCATACACCCATTTTTAGTTTATGATTTCGCACCTCCAAACACCACCAGGCCGAAGCACCAGTCTGAGTTTCTGAGGGTACATCCTCTGAGCAGAATCCTCTCATTATCCAGAGAAAACGTCTCTCCTCCCACCGTCAGAGTTCCTGTGAACTTATCCAAACGGTTGTTTGGAGGCTCACAGCGCACCTCACCTGAGATATACAATATTGATATAGTGTATTTAATAAGGGTTCTACACAGCAGGGATGCTTTTGTACAATTCACTCTTAGTAATGCCCTAGCAACCACTCAGAACACCTTAGAAACCCCTTAGGAATGCCCTGGCAACCTGATATAGTGCAGATTCTTTGCAGGTACATTATGTGCATCTGTCCCTCACCTTTGAATGCTGCTAGTTTCTGGATGTCATTGCCCAGGTCTCCTGTGATTGTCAGAGCCTGTTTCACCTTCAGGTTGGTCTCCCTGTGGCAGACAGGAAAAGAGAGACAGACGATGGCTCTGGTACACAATAATAACAGATGAACAGGTTCATGTTTACATGCTCAGTTACTAACCCGTCCAGCTCAGCCGTCTCAATATAGATGAGGTTGAGAGGTTCACTGCTTGAGAGTAACAACAGATCAGCCTAGAGCACAGGAAGAAAAAATAGAGATAAGTTAGTTTCTAAATTCTAATGACTTCCTGTAAAATAACAGTAAGAATCCAGTTGTTGTTGTTGTCATTCATTCAGTAAGGAATAATTGAGACGGGCCGTTTAATTATTAGAAAAACAATGCGAGGTGGTGATGCGGCCGTTACACCTCGGGTGTGCATTATTTTTCTAATAATTCAACCTTGACAATGTCACCCACTTGAACATTCATCCATTTTTCACTCTTCAACCTGTTTGAGACCATGACTTTTTATTTAGCAAAAATTAATTTTGGAAAATGCATTTGGTTAAAACAAAAAAAGATTAAAGTAGCATAGTAGAGTCGGACACTTACTCTCCATTAATGAGCAGTTCTACTTTTCTGTTGTTCACTTGTTTGTCATTTTTGTGTCTGGTCTGTGTTGTAGGATGAACATGGGAGAGACCATAAGAATGGACAGTCAAGCACGTTATTGTCTGCATTGGACATAGACAGGAAGCGGACTCACGATGTCGTCAGAGAGATCTTTGGCTAGGGTCATAGACAATGATATGGAACTGTAATGCGGTCAAGAGAGCTGCCTGGAACTACGTGCGCCGTGCGTTCAGTGCTGCCAACTAATTTTCAGGGCTTGCTATGCTAAAGGCAGATCGATTTGTTGCTAAAAGTTGCTAAATGACGCTGTGACGCAAAACAGCGTTTTTACGTAGAATACACGCGATTACTCAAATCTCAGCGAAAAATGTTTTTTTAATGTTATTTGTTAGAAAAAAAAGTTGCTAGGGTAGTCTGAAAAGTTGCTAAATCTAGCACAAAATTGCTAAATTGGCAACACTGCGTGCGTTTCCCTGAAAATAATTGCACACCTCAGAACGTTCGTCAGCCAATCAGATTCAAGCATTCATAATATCAATACAATAGACTTACTGTGACAAACTCATTGTTTTCCAGCTTGACAATGTCACCCACTTGAACATTCATCCATTTTTCACTCTTCAACCTGTTTGAGACCATGACTTTTTATTTAGCAAAAATTAATTTTGGAAAATGCATTTGGTTAAAACAAAAAAAGATTAAAGTAGCATAGTAGAGTCGGACACTTACTCTCCATTAATGAGCAGTTCTACTTTTCTGTTGTTCACTTGTTTGTCATTTTTGTGTCTGGTCTGTGTTGTAGGATGAACATGGGAGAGACCATAAGAATGGACAGTCAAGCACGTTATTGTCTGCATTGGACATAGACAGGAAGCGGACTCACGATGTCGTCAGAGAGATCTTTGGCTAGGGTCATAGACAACACCAGCAGCAGCGGAACTACAGTCGTGAACCAGGACAGAGACGAGATCTGAGGAATCAGCTGTGCAACACAAACACGGTGAAGCCTGTTAGAACTTTTCTTACTCT